GGGCTACAGACAAGAGTTGGCTTTATTCACGGACACGGGGGCAGCTGTGTCACTGGCAGCTGCCCTCGTATTGCACATCCAGCGACGGGGGAATATCCATGCCACGTCACAACACAGCTTCGGCACTATGGGACCTCGGGGGGGGGGGCGCAGGCACCGTCACCACCCAGCAGGCTGGGGAGCGGGCTTGGGCACCAAGGGTTCACAAAGGCAAAAGACCCGTCCACCCATAGATAGAGAGATATATATATAAAAAAAAATAGTTCCACGATGACCAGAGCAGAACCACAGGGACAGGCGTGCAAGCGAAATGTACAGCAGCCCGCAAGCAGGTAAACATGCTTCATACAGACACAGACACACCGGGACACAGCCGGGGTTTATGGCACTGGGAGGGATACAGAGCCATAAACCCGGGCTTCATGGACACACGCACGCACACACGCACACACACCAGCCCCTGCGGGCAGCACCCACGGCTCGGGCACGCGCCGGGGCTCGGGGGCTTGGACACAGAGGGTTTTTCTCACTGCTAGACATGTTACGGAGACATGGACATGGTCCCTTGGAACGGAACTGGAGGAAGAACTCGTGAGCGAACGGGGCAGGGGCACCCCTGCTCCTCCCCGGCACACAGGCACCGGCCAGGGCCGGCTGGGGAGGAGCAGGGGGCTACCGGCGGTTCGTTGTGCTGCTGGTGGAAGAGGCAAGGATGGGGGTCCATTATGCCTCTGGCTCGTATTCCTGGTATTCCTCCTGTGGGATGGGTAAAGAAAGAGTTAGTGAGAGAGCTCAGGTGGGGCACAGAGTCCCTCTTTCCCCCAGCCCCCTGCCATCTTTGTGAACACTGTCACACTGTGCCCTCCACAGTGCCCTGTGCCCACCCTGCCACCCTATCCCCTCACCTGCGGGGGCTCCTCGTAGTTCTCCCCCTCTGGCTCCAGCAGTGGCTCGACCAGCGGCTCCTCCGCAGCCTCCTGGGCCACCTCCTCTGCCTGAGAGTGAGCCAGGGGGTCAGTCCCACACACACAGCCCCCCGTGTGCACCCACCCACCCTCCCCCTGCCAAACCAGCAATGCAAGCAGCATACAGGGGGCTCCACGTAGAGGGAGCCAGTGGCACCCTGAGCACACAGCAGCCTGCTTAGCTGGGAGGTGACATGTACAAGTCCGTGGGACCAGGGGCTGTGTGTGCACATCTCTGTGCTTCTCCCAGCCCCGGGCAGGCAACGGGTGCTGGCACTGTGCAGGCCCCGTTGAGCTCCAGGGGCTGTCAGTGCTGCGGGAGCATCCTGCATCCCTGTCAGGGGAGGGCGGTGCTGGGTAACCCCTCCCCGGGGCTGGCAGGAGGGAAAGGGGGGCAGCCGATCCCGCCGCACAGCGACGGTGGCGGCGGTGGCCTCATTTCTTCAGCTGATGCTATTTTGGGCTAAGCTGGAAGCCAACAGCTCATGGGGCGGCGAGCTGGAACCCGCTGCCCCTCCCGCAGCTGTCAGGTCACCTCGCAGCCGCCGGAGCGATGCGCCGCAGGCCCATGCCGCCGGCCGCCATGGCGGGGCCCGCGCGCGCGCACGTCCGCACGCCCCACGCACGCGGCCGCGCACGCGGCCCGCACGCTCAGGGCCACGATGCCCGCCTGGCCTGGGCACAGGCAGAGCACCTGGGCACCCTCAGGGTCCCTCCCCCGGGACTGGGGAGCAGCCAAGGGGCTCCCCGCCAGACCCGGGCACGTGCCAGCCTCCCCGCAGCATCCGGGGAGGGGGGGTCTCACCTTCAGATCCGCAGGGAACTCCTCTTTCTTCACCAGCCCAGTGGCCGCCGCGATGTTGCCCGCGCCGGAGAACGCCGCTTCACCCAGCTGGGACGCCTGCTCCTTTGCTTTCTCAGCCACTGCAAGAGCCAGGGCTGCCCATCAGTGCCCCCCCACCCCGTGCCAGGGAGGGGAGCCCAGTTGTGACTTCATGCCCTGCACCACCCAGGGGGAGCTGCTGGGGAGTCGCTGGGCAGGATCAGGCTCTTCCCACTTCCCTGCTGGGGCGCTGAGGAGGGGAGGGGGCCAGGACAGTGCTCTGCAGCTGGGCAGGGAGTGTGAGCCACCGCTGCAAATCCTTGGTTGCGGGATATAAGTTATATAAGAGGCTTTAGCAGAGTGACATCAGCCCCTCAATTAGCCTCTGATCTCGTTAGTGCGGCCACGCTCTCAGGGCCAGAGGGGTACGGCAGTGGGGAGAAAGAGCAGACCGTACCTGAGGTTACGCCTTGCACCACGCCTTGGGTTTTACTCCCTGAGGGTAGAAAGAGACAGAGATCAGGTTAGAGAGGCCAGTGGCCAGGCTTCGCCACATGCTGTGCCCAGGACCCTTGCAGGGCTCTGAACCAGGGTAGCATCCTGCCCACATCCCAGCCTAGCCACGCCTGGCTCCCTGCAAGGTTTCTCTGGTCCCTGCAGGACGCTCAGGACTGGGGCCACTGCCCCATGCTTGGCAGGGCAGAGACCCCAGGGCCCAGCACCCTGTCAGGGCCCAGCCAGGCAGGCTGAATGCCAACCGTGCTGCTGAGTAAAATCTCCCATGGGAGCCAGGATCCAAACCCAGAGCTGGTGCCAACACAGCACAGGAAGCCCCACAACTAGAGTGCCCAGGGCTGGGTGCTGCTGCTGGCCATGACAATCCTGCCAGGCTCCTTCAGGCAGAGTGATACCATTCAGGACACCCCATGGAATGGGGGTGGGGTGTCTAGGTTGGAAGGAAAGGCAGGGACTGGGCAGCTCCTGCAGGATTGAGCCTCCAGGCACTCCTTAGGCTGCTGGACCCCTATCCAGCACACACACCCTGGGCAGAGTGTGCATCCAGAGCAGGCATCCACCACTGCCCAAGGGAACAGTTCTGAGGCCTCAGCATTCCCACAGAGCTAGTGCCCTCTGGAGCAGGACAGAGACCCAGCCCTGCGCCCTCCTGCCTCCTGCTCCAGTCCGGGGCAGCCTCAGCTCCTGCCCCCAGCATTCCAACACCACAGCCAGGCACACAACCTGCCTAGGACCTGCTTCTCCAGCCAGCCATGTCTTCTAGGACTTGGCACCAAATAGACCCAGACCCCAATTGGCAGCACAGAGGGACTCTTTAGTCACCAACTGGGAGCAGGGGAGCATCTCCTGGCGTGGGATGCATTCCAGGACATTGTCTCTTCAAGGGGGAAAAACGTGGTCCCGGCCCTGCTGCCCCAAGCTGGGCACTTCCCAGCAAAGAGGTCACCACCTCCATCACAGTCCCTCCGCACTCCTGTCCCAGAGCATCCTCGGCATGGAGCCGAGGGACCCTGGGGCTCAGACTGCCAGGGACCGCAGAGAGTCCAGTCCCCGGGGGTCCCATCCCCTCAGCCTGGGGACCAGCCCCGGCTCTGCTCTTGCCCGCAGAGCCCACCCTCCCGCCTGCAGATTCCCGGTGGGCTGGGGGGCACTGCGGGCACCGATCCTCTGCCCCGGGGCACCCTGCCTCAGGGTGGTCGTGACGGGGAAGGGGCAGGGAAAGGCAGGAGAGGGGCCGGGGACAGGTGGAAGCAGAAGGGGGAAGGCAGGGGGATGGGCAGGAGGACGCAAGGGCAAACGCAGGAGCAGGCAAGGGCAGGCAGAGGGGGCCGGCAGGTGCAGGCAGGAGCGGGCAGGGATTATCGGGGGGGCAGGCACGGGCTGGCAGGGGGCTGGCAGGGGGCAGGCAGGGGGCTGGCAGGGGGCTGGCAGAGCAAGCCGGTCCTTACCGACATAGAGGACCCCTTCCTTGGTCTTCTCGGCCGCCTCGGCCACCCCCTGCTTGGTCTTCTCGGCGGCGGCGACCACCCCCTCCTTGGCCTTGGACAAGCCCTTCATAAACACCTCCATGGCGGCTCTGCGGGGAGAGGCCGCACGGCTTCACCCCGCCCCGGCCCCGCGCCCGCCCGCCCCGCGCATCCCGGTCCCGCGCATCCCTTCCCCGCGCATCCCTTCCCCGCGCATCCCGGTCCCGCGCCCCCGGCCCCGCCGCCCGCCCGACCTGGCTCGCTGTCGGCGGGGACGGGCGGGCCGGGCCGGGCCGGGCCGGG